AAAGGACAACTCTTCTTTCTTTTAGTTCAGATCCTTGTGTAAGCCATACTTTTCTTGCCTACCATTGACTTAGCCTCTCAACTCCTTCAGCAGCTAATCTTAGTTGATGGCTGCATTTGAAGACTATGTTCTACATCTTATTTTATAACCTAAAAATAATCCATGCACCATCCTCCTTCGAGGCTTCTATTTCTCTTACATATCCAACAACAAGATAATCAATTTCCATAATTTATTGTTCCTTCAGCTTCCTTTGTGCTGCCTGGGATGTTCCTTGCCTTACATTTATTTTCATTTGTTGGTTCCACTTTAATGGATGTATGTATTAGCATTGCTTCTTTATTCTGTTTTGTGTTCATGTTGGCCTTTAATTAGTCCAAACAATCAGCATGTCTCTCCTGACTTGTACCTTTCCATGTAGCCCTTTTTACGTAAGATTTCTCTTCAAGAAATTTCCATGGGGAAAAAAATCTTTGCATTATTTTCATTTTATCTTTGAAGTGCTAGAAACTGTTAGAACCACCGCAGTTTCTAGAGATTTCTTTCCAAATCTGAATTCTTCCCCCCGCTTTGACTATAGGATTTTTGTTGATGTCCTAACTACTGTCTACCTTTAACAACTTATTTGCATTTTGGAGTTTTTAATCTGTGCTTTGCCATACGGATCATCTTCTAATTCAAATGGTCCATGTCAGTGTTTACATGTTTTCGAATTCTTTTGGTCAGGGCAGTATCATATATTTACTTCGGAGAGGAAACGTAAAGATTTGTTTTGTTCGTTTCACTTAGCAGAAGACCACATTTCACTTTGTATTCCTTTCTTTTACCATCACGATTGTCTGCCTGCCTAGTCCCATATTGTAATCTAGCTCAATTTCATCTTTCTGCTTTAAAAGAGACTTGAATATGATGCATGGCCTGTTTGTTCTACAATGTCCTACATTCTGTTCTCCTTAGCTTACTTCACCTAAAGATCATTCGTTTTGCTAGTGAAAGCTTTGAAAATTATTACCTTATTTTTAATTAACTTTCAAGGGGCTGCCACTCTAATGCAGCTTGGACCCATTTTATAACTTCCTGGATTCAATTATTAGCCCACTCTCTTACTGCATGTATCACACACAATCTGTAACTATTTACATTTCCTATCATTGTGTTTTCAGCCTCTTATCAATTTAGTATGAATTTTATCACTATGGGTTTCCAAATCTCTATTTGTTTCTAGTTATAGGGTTTTTTTCCCCATTCAGCTATTTATACTATGGAGTTTATTGTCAAAAACAGTTTTTACATTAAAAAGGGGTTTTCCTGTGTGAAATGCAAATTGTGTTTGTTGAAAGCATACACTATGGAGACAAAAAACTCCAATATCATATTAAAACCATTTGGTGCTTAGTAGTTCATATAGTAGACAGTAATTGCACTTAATTATGTTCCAGTGTCTGACGCTTTTTTTTCCTTTTTGTAAATTATGTAATTATGTATAGATTTTCTTGTGTTTACGATGTGCTGGTCCTTATCTGATTATCAAATCATTCCAGCTTCAGGCTATATCTTTACAAAATCTCTAATTTTAATTCAAATATCTTGCAGCTTGAAGTATTATGCAAACAGTTTCATGAAAAAATGCACCAATTTAAAGCTGCTCAAATAAATATTTTCTGGGAGGTTTTTTGCACGTGGACTCATCTGTTCATTCCATATGCTCTTTTAATATCCTGTAGAACAAAGAAAACATGGTAAGTTAAATGCACTGTTTGTGATAATAGAGTTATGAACACATTATTTTAGAAATTTATAACAACTCTCCTCTAGCACCTGAACATCACAACTCCCGTTTCTGATGAGTGGCATTTCTCCTGACTTCACATTAAACAGCATCAAAAATTGGTATCAGTAAAAGACTCTGAAGTTCCCTACTTTATTTAAATAATTGTGAGGCTCAAGGATGCAATTAAACAGTAGTAGGAGCAAACTCCTTAGCACAATTAGAGTTTTGTCTAAACACAAAAGTTGTATTGCTTTAGCTGGATCAACATCTGTCAGTGGTACACTACCAAACTCAAATTTGGATGTACTAAAAAATGGGTTTATTCCAGTATAGCTTATTCTTATCAAGGAAGAGAAATAGAGAAGAAGATAAATAAGCATAAGGAACTTAATTTAATATATAATTGCATGCATGTTACAAATTATACCAGTGTAACTACACTGTAAGATGTATATATATTTTTCCCCTTACATATTTAGTTATGTGTAGAAACTTTGTGTAGACCAAGCTTAATTACAGAGATGATCAACATTTTCTGACATCCACATTGCATCAATTTTCAAGTAAAAACATTAAATTTATTCTTTAAAAACTTTTAATACAGCTTTTACTAGCCTATATAGTGGTTTAGATTTTTCTAAAACTTCACATTTTGTCAATATTTTTTTTTTACAAAAAACCTGCATTTTTAAATAAATATTTACTATTCTATTTCTAGTTCTAATTAAGAGTAGACTAAACAAAACAGGAGGAAGCTTCACTTGAGAAGATGATTTGGGAGTTCTTTTAATTCTGATTCTACCCCCTGCACACTCTCACTGTCCAAACTGGCCTTGCTGCTTTTCATCTAAGAAAAAAAAGACAGCCTCCTCTGAGTGAGAAAACTCAAGTCAAACAGTGCTAATATCCCATCGAACTCCCAACTGCTCCAAATAGATTCCCTATACAAGCCTTTGGTAGGCTATGGCGGTGGACAAGAAAAACTTCTTAGCTTCAACCAAAGCCACAGCACAGAAGTATGTCGACAGTCATCTGAGAGAGTTAGTTTTTATCCCTTATAGAAAAAAGGGATAAAAAACCTATCAGTTAACTATAGAATACCATCCTTTTCTTGCATATAGGATTACTCAGTCTTGCAAAGGTATTATTCAACTGCAAACTTGGTTTTTTCCCTTTTTGTTTGTTTAACCTTCCAGACAAAACCATTTCACTTCCATCAGACCAACAAATAGTCTTGAAATGGTTGAACCTATCTGCATCCAATATAAGTTTACTAGAAAGATCAATAAACAGCACAAGGAGAACGTAAAATATAAAATACATTGCAGTTTTACACATGGAATGGTCCAATCCAGCTCCCTTTAGTATCAGTGGACAGGTGACCACCTATTTGACTGAGAAATGACTTAAATCCCAGAAGAATCTATGCCAATATTAAACTGAAATTTAATTTCTGTTACATTCAATATACATCAGCTCCCATGACTCCATGCAGAAAAAAGTGCATGGTTTAAGATTAGACCTTAATATAAACCAAATATTATAGTATTAGTTTAGGGATGACCATTTATTTCACTATCATCCACTCCCCTACAAAGTTCTATGAAGGTCTGGATACCACAGGCTTGACTTTGAAAGGTGCTGATCATCTGTATGTCCCACTAAATCAGCGTCAGCCAGCTTCAGTCACAAAATACCTACATGCAGAAAAAAAGCAAACCTTTTCGATTGCAAGTGATACTGGGCATTCCCAGACAGAAGTGCCTCAGCAGGATTAGTGGATTCCCAGTATCAATGAGAATACATAAGAGGGGAGAAGATATGTTTCTCTTACGCATACTTTAATTCAATTTGATAATGAAGCCTTGCAAAAAAAATCAATCAATATTATGTAATAACAAACCTATCAACAATGTCACGTTACTATCCAAAGGTGATCAAATACAACATTGTTTCTTTTTCATTGGCACCTTCATTTTCTATACGTTATGACATGGAGTTACCATGATCCCTAAGTAAGAGGCAACAAGCAAGTTACACTGCTCCAGATGTGGACCAGGAACTGTATTGTGCAACAACAATCTGAGCCTGGGTGGAAGTCATGGCAGTGGTTGCAGCAGGTCTGGGCTGGGTGGGACTGGCTGTAGTGACAGTGATAACAGCTGAACCAGCAATGGTGGCAGCTACCATTCTTGCACCCCCTCTAAGTGGGTGCCCCGGGCTGGTGGCCCAGTCACCCACCTCTGACTACACTACTGGTATTGTGATTTAGAGAGTCATATTCAAGTCCCCACTTCCACCTCGCTCCAAAAGAAAAATAAACCAGTGCTATATTGGGAGTAAATCTGTGTTGACTCAACTTGTGAAGGAATTGAGGCAGAGCTAAGAAAAAGCTTACTGATGGCACCACTCTACCTACTTGCATGAAAGAGAAATAGAAACCATGAAGCAATTTTCTTGTCTTTACGCACACTAGTGATGAAGGTAACACATGGAGGGGAATAAAGAGAGTTCCACTGTCCTCTTGTTCTTGTACGTGGTTGCATATGGAGGACTCAGTTATCCAAACTTCTATAGCCCATGATGAAACTGAATACTGCCTTGCTGAGACGCATGCAGGTTATACTTCTCTAAGCAAAAATGTAAATGTTGAAATATTTAGCAAATATGGACATCACATATAAATTAGCATTCGATCTATATCTATCTATCTATAGATATTTGAAGGAGATAAAAGCCAAATTATATTTCTGCATAAGTTTTATTAGGTGCATATGTGAATTTAAGTGTGTGTGTGGGGGGGGGGAATTGGCTATTCATTTCAGTGCTGGAGACTATGGTTATCAATTTTCATTTCTAAACTTATACTTCTAAATCCATGCTTAGGCACTAACATAAAGTGGACCTGCTTTTCAGAAGTGCTGAGCACCAGCAAACCCATGGGATCAGTCAGAAGTACAACTGTTCAACATCTTTGAAGGTCAGTTTTATTTAAGACCCTAAAATTCCAGTGTCATTAAGTCAAAATTTAAGGGCCTAGCTTTAAATACCCAGGTTTGAATGCGTCAGCTGCGATTTCTCTCCGAGGAAGCTTTGACACTGCACTCTTCACCATGGTTTTCAGCACCTTGCAAAAGAGAGTCTAAAAATGCAGCAACATTTTAACAGTCAAATATCAAGTACAAAAAAATAAAGAATACCAACCATATTTCTTGGCTCAGTAGTATCATCAAGGCCACAGAATGAATGCTAGTGAGAAAAACAAAAAAAGGAACAAAAACTATAAAATAAGATCAAAAGAAAATGAGGAAAAAAAAGAAAAGAAAAAAGATGTAAGATATGTAACATGGAATTCAATGGCAGTATTTTTACAATAATTAGTCCTATGCTATGATAATTGAATATACTTGAAGGAGAAATACAGAATACTGGGTTTTTGCCTCTAACTTATACTGAAAATAGACGACAAGTTGTAAAATTCAGTAGTAGCTTTCCAAACACCCGAAGGCCAAGGGACTTTATAAACTGGTAAAATCCGAGTTGAGGTAATAGGATTTGAGCACATATTTATAGTTTATTATGTGCTTAGGTACTTTACTGAGCTAAGGCCTAAGAACCAAAGATATAGATCAGTGGAATTTCAACTGTAGAAACTCAGTTATAACAATAGACTTGTGAATTTAAACTAGATGTGCCTCATACACAATCTGGTGGGAAATGAAACAATTTTTGATACATAGATTATGGTTCTTAAAATGTTTCTACAGTTACTTCATTAACATCATATTGAGCAGGCAGGCTGGCACTGAACAATATTTGTGTACGCAAACTTTAGGAAGGAGACAGCCTGTTTGAAAAACCTATGGGCAAGATTGCTAAAATATGTATTTCCTTTTTGGCAGAAACCAATTTGAAGAACAGAGACAATCTGAAAATCAAATCC